CGAGTAGACATTTTTAATGAAACTCTACCCAGTTGACTCATTTCAGGGACACGTACAAATGGTAAATTGCAATGGAAAATAACAAAGGTAATAAAATATTCCCAACCACATCTCATATTTTAATAACGTGGATAGTTTGCCCAATTACAAAACCCAATGCAAAGTAACACCGAGTGAGCCATTTCCGATTTCCAATCACCATGGTCATCCAGGGCAAAAGTGTAAAGCGGGAAAACGCATAATAGCCGACAATAAAACGCACGTAAACCGGCGATGCTCCGCAAATTGGCGGCACTAACCCTCTGATTGAATCTAGTTTTATCTATATTAGGTAACATGTGAGAAACAGACAAGTACTAGAAAATAATAATTGTAATCTCGTTTCTACCACAATACTATTACTGGTAAATTATTTGTCAATTACAGCTTTAATAATCAAGGTTGAATTAAAGCCAATAACTTATGCTCTGTTCTGCTCTTAGCCCACATGGTCTAGTGTATCTGGTCACATCTACTGAAAAACGACGCTGAGAATTCGGCCAAATAATATGTATTCGCATAATACTTAAACAAGAAAGATCCTGATTCCTGCTGCTGATCGTCTAGCAACTGTTTTTTAACTTGCTTATTCAAGAAAACAACATGTCATGAGTCCTTACACTAAGGCTACAACCCACTTATTCCATGAATCTATGATTCAAACCACAAAGGCCAGCCCAAGGTGTGAATGTGGTGAGTGAGCGTAATAGGCGATAGAACGCATATGTCCCGTCCTGGCAAATGGGCGGCGCGCGGCAATCAGCGCGGCCGCTAATTGAATCCCCACAAATTTCGCTCTAATATAATGAAAACTCAGTTTGCTTTTATTATTACGGTATTAACATGCCGGTTATTTAAGTCTTTGGGCTAATTCTGAGAGAGCTTATCTAGAGCTACTACCTAATAAAACTAATTGAGACCTTAAGCAAAAAATGTATCAAATCTTATGAGGACCGCTAAGTCTGAAAAAGATGAAAAAATATTCAAAAGCTAATTTTGTGTTATTCACATCCTCAAAAAATTTCGTTCAAAACAAGATGAAAACAAATTATTTCTTATGATGAAAAGCTGGAAAATTCCCATCCCGCAATTTTCCGCTAAGTCATAATCTCAAAATACGGCAATACGAAATATCGAAAACAAAACCTCTTATATTGGATGGACACTTCGCTCGAATACCTCACATCGTAGCTTTCGCAAATCGAAAGCCAATGCATTGTAAAGTTGCGGACTGTATTTACTGGACAAATCCTATTCCTTAGAAATGTTGACAATGCTCTTAGATGTTATAAATTGGAAGCAATTTCTCGTTCAAACAAAACATGATTCGAGGACCGTAACGCTCGTGGAGCCCATCGATTTAATAAGATACTGCAAATAGAAAATGATCTACGACTCTCGATGCTATGGATCTTGTAACAAAGCACATTGAAATCTTAGATTACAGTCTTCAAATTCCAAAGCCATTGGGTTCAAAGCGCCATTGCAATTAGTAGAAAATTAATTAACAGAAAATTCTAGACACATTCCAGATCTTGAATGTCAAGAGTTAAGTCTACGGAGCAGTCCAGACCCTAGGTGTTGATTTTATACTTAAGAGTCTGTATAAAAAATCATTTTCTTTTTTTAAATCTTTTCCTAGTTTCCAATTCTTTGGACATGGCTATGTAGGTTAATTAGTTTGGTTAGTAAAATTGCGGTTCCTTTAAATATTACACATTTTTATATTCCCAGAATTGAATATAATTTTAAGGTTGTCCATGTCCAGTTTCTAAAGCCCACTCTATCTAGAAAATAACTAACACATTTAGAACTTAAGTGTAATATTGTACCTACGTAAAAGTAAGTGACACTTAAACTTTGTTAAGTGCAATTAACAACTCTGGTCATATGGGACTAATCCCCAATATACCAAAACAATCCCCTTAGGGAACAACCCCTTTTCTGAGTAGTGTTGCTTTTGTGGATGCAGGGACCATTAGTATATGTCGTAAAACTACAATTAAGCTGCGTAGCACTTTGGTTTAATTTGAGCTGATTTTATTTATTTATTTAAACTTTAGCACAAATAGAAAAATAACAACTTTTACTATTTGAAATCAAAAGAATGCCATTCTTAAAGTAAATTCGTTCTGCTAAAATCAAACAAGGTGTCTTTTCATTGCCTATCAGCCTACACGATGAAAACTGTTGTCTCTATTCTGGCAAAAAGGCTTATAAAGTCTTCGTTCGAACTCTGATCGAATTCCAGCCATGCCAGTCCGTACAAGGACGTTTTATTATAGGGACAAATAGACGTATATAATTCAGTCCGTCAATGGTACTCGACCGACAATAGGGCTCAGAGCTCGGCTAAGAAACCCGGGACCATTAAGCTTGTTTACTGATCTTGGGTAAACACCTCTTGGTGGGCAACGACTCTGCCATAAAACGATTTCATACAGAACACAAATGAGAAGAGATGATTATTGTGATCATAAGGATGCAATTAAAAGATGACAGCTTACCACCCACATTGAAAACATAGCAACCTAAAATCTTTCAACAATTAAAATTCTAAATCACGTAGGAGAGAGCAACGCATAAACCGATAGCGCCGCGCTCTCTCTGATATTCAAAATGCCCAAATTAAAAAATTAAAAAAAAGATGACAGCTGAAACTTACATACTATCTCTCAGAAGATAAAATGTAAACGATATCATTGTTCATTCATTAATAGTATGTATTATACAACGTGTNATTGGTTAAGGAGAACTGGTTTTAAATTCAGTTGCAAGATTTATCTCATACTAACTTACAAGCGAAATGCTTGTAAAAATGGTACGCATATCTTTTTTGCGACTAGTTTTCTTAGAGTATTATACCATTTCGGAATCTTGGATAGTTGCGTCAACTTTATAAAAAACTTGCCGCAGTAGTGTTCATACTGTTTTTTTACAAAACGACGAGTCAAAGTGGAGTGTAAGTAAAAATCGTTCAAAATTTTAAGGAAATATCATATTTTGATTAACTTTTGTGTAAAAACTGCAAGGATTCTGAGGGTTTTAAGAATTGGGGTGGACAGCAGCACTACTTAAGTTGCCGATACAAACAAAAAAAGTGAAGTATTTGAAAAATTGTAGTCGTGGTAATGTAAAATATCATAAGGGGTGTCAATTTTCGACGAATTTCATAATTTATTGTGTAACTTAAAAAATAATTGAGATAGATTTTTTTTCTTATTTTTCCTAAAGCAGTCATGACTATGTCCACCCTGCGGCGCCGGCTTATCCTTGAATTTTGGGACACGTTGTATATTGTTTTGGTAGAATCGTTTAGTTACTTATCTAATGGGCTGTAATAATGTTCTATTAGATGAGGGGATGGCTTGTGGCTTCGCGGAAATCGAATCTTAATAGTACAATAAATACAATTAATATCAAAATTACTTTAAAACCTTACTCCGTTGAACAATTCAATCAAAACTTAAATCTTCACTTCGGTTTTGGTGTAAGTTTCCAAACTATTTTAATACTTAGAAAGTTACAGTTTTGCTCAATTTACTTTGAATATGACACAATATATCCGTACTCGGAAAGACAGGAATAGTTAAATAGCGAAGCCTACCTACGTAAAATAGTTTGTTTTAGCTTTTGATATCTCAAAATTAGTGTAAGTAGATACAGTGTACCTGCCTACAAAATAATGTATTCTATCGCATTAGGTTATTGATCTGTAAAGATAGTATAAGTTGGTGAAAATAAAAAAAATGTGTAGAACCAAGTAAGATAATATTTATTTTTACTTAAAAATGCTCCCAGTAAATCTTTATTCAGTAGATATATTTAGATTTAGATCAAATTAACCTAAGATTAAGTAATTGACCTCAAGTTCCTCCTCGGGCGGTCTAATCAACTCAGGCAAATTAAAAATGTACACATACCGGGTCTCTCGTCCCAATATCCTCTGGAGGAAAAGTATTTTGCAGGGATAAATTTTTATTTCCTAGGAAACAAATGAAAATAAAGAAATCAGCAAAAATTTTTATAAATAGCGCACGTAGACACGTGTCACGCCACTCCCGACAATTAAAAAGTTATGACTGTCGCACACGAATACCCGTCTGACTGTACTATATTTATCAACAAAGTAAATCATATGGTTTTTTTTTAACATATTTTTAATAATGAGCAAGAATGTTATTAATCAAGATTCATTTTGTAGAGCTCATTTCTATGATGCAATAGGAAAGTCCATTTTCTGGCGATACCGGTCTAGCTATAGATGTAATGTTAGTTATGTAAATTGTAGTAACTATATGTAAAAGTATTCGGTCTGTAGACAGATAGTATAAAGTATGTTTAAGTGTTCGTAGCCAAAAAAAATATTCTGAAAGCTTTATGAACTGTCTTTAATCAAGAAACGAAGAAGAACTCTTATTCCTATCTCTTTGATTTAGATTAGCGTCTTACGCCCGTATTCACAAACGATGCTTGCTTAAGTGAAGCAGCAAATCGAACGCACAGCGTTCAATAGAGCTCTATGATTGGTTCGCGTGTGACCCTGTGCGTCCTCCTCATAGTCATCATCATCATTTTCAGCCATAGGACGTCCACTGCTGAACATCCCCCAATGATTTCCACAACGGCCGGTTAATGGCGGCCTGCATCCATCCTCCTCATAGTAATGTTTGTGTCGTATTCACAAACATTCAATCAGCGTCAATCTTTTGTGAAACGGGATCGTAAAATACTAAAAACACGTGCAACAAATCTTGTTGATAGTTCAGGTTGCAGAGCTTTTGATTTCGAGCTGACTGTGCAATTGCGATAACTGTTCGGTAACAAATCCCGTCCGTTTCCATTGACTTTTTTTTTTGTCTCTCGGTAAGCGAAGGTTCTATTTTCACACTGCTATACAAAATGCACGCGTTTAGAAAAAGAAAAAAAGTATTAGAAAATAATTAAAATCCATTACTTACTTCTGTTTTTGCTGATGTGGATTTAATCTGCAACAAAAAAGACACAATTTGATTAATAAAGATATTGGGTTTCAAATATTACGAGTAGTATAAAGTTAATTTCGTTACACTATATGAAAGATTTTCCGTCTTTTTATTTTTTATTTTTGGAATAAAAAATTGCAATGTATATGTATAGGTACCTAATTCAGTGTAAGCCTAAGGTATAGTTTTAGACTAGAACCTAATTACGATAAAGAACTTTATTTTTATTCTGTGGTTAGTTAAAATGCCATTTCAGACCGGGACACTACAGACAAAAAATAAACGGTGTTGACCTTTAATTCAAGTGTCACCGTAATGTTATAATGTAATTCCCGAAATGATTCCATTTCTATTCAAATTGGCTCGCAACGAAATTTAACCCAACGAAATATTTATCTAACTCCCGTGAAAGTGAGAATTATGAAATTGACTAATCAATTTCGGAACCGGAGACGTTTGTGCTTCAGGTAACAATTGTTCCTGTAATATTCATTAATGAAATTTCTGAATTTTATTATTATATTAAGTATTATTTTTAACCTACCTGGAAAAACTCCTCCGTTTTCTAAATTAAATATAATTATGCAAGGATATTGTTTATTATTTATGTTAAACTCAATATCTACCTACATAGACTCACTACACTAACACTCACTAAACTTCACTAGCTTCTAGTAGATTTTAAGTTTTTTTGTAAAATTTTTCTTTATTGTATTTTTTTTGTTTTTTCTTAATTTTTCTTAATTTTTATAACATTATTGGATGGATGCACTTTAATAAATTATTGTTTCTTGGAGGAGGGCGTTGATCCCTGCGACACAGTTTTATACTTCTGCAGAGGTCATCGTTTTTTCATTGTATTATGTACCCTTGTACTACTATTATACGAAATAAATATATTATAGAGAGTGCAAACCAAAGCACACGATGCGTTGCGGCAGCGGTGCGGCGGCGGAGCGGTATCGCTGCGTCGTCTTACATAGAAATATCTGCGGGCACACGAGCGGTGCGGTGGCGTCGCAACGCATTGTGTACTTTGGCTCTACCGCAGTAGACTTGGAGCGTGTTGCACCTCAATAGTTGTACGAGTACCTACGGCTAATTCTCAACTTACTGTAATCAGGATATAGAAACGCGTCGATTAATCGCGTACAGTTTATTCAAGCTATTACAAAGGCTCATTACTATGCGTGAACTTCGGTAATGTCAGAAGAATACACATCGGCCGCTAATGAGCTAGATATAATCCCGCGCGTCGATGCGAGGCGAAGCTTCGAAACTTCGAACTTCGATGTTGTCATACAAAGTTTCGCCGTCACAATATACGCGCAATCAAAATCTTTTAAAGTCTATTAAATGTAAATGTCTCGAGATGAAAGCTTTCTGCACGTGAATTGATCTTTTATATACTTTAATACAATGCTTTAAAGAGTTATTTAAAGATAGAGTGCGTACCTATGTAGGTAATTTAGTGAAAATCACGTAAGAATGCTCGCAAATCCACTTAATGAATCCTTCGTTGGAACTTTCAGTCGCTTGATGGTTTTCGCGAATGAAAATTCCGCCAGATGGCAATACGTAGACGCGAGGTCCAAATGCTGCATGATTGGTTATTTTTGACATGACATTGACAGATATGTCATAATCCACCAATCACGCAGCAGTCAGACCACGTCCCGTCATCTAGCGGATCTTTCATTCGCGAAATCCCTCATTGACAGTGCGCAGAAGTTTACATTAGTGTCAAGACTTTATTAGGCCTGAAAGTTGTAGCCGGCGGTCGTGGCGGCTTAATTTAATCTTAAGATATGTAATCTGTGGCCTCAGCCGATCTCGCCCATTTGCCCGATATTAATTGAAGCTTAACCTGGGCTTAATTAGTGCCAATACAGCACCGGCGCGCACTTGCGGCTGCTTCATCCGTCCAATAAGACTTTATAGCCCAAGTTTAAACAATCGCTCATTTCTGGCTGGGCTTATTACACTCGTTACAAAACATGAGGAAAACATGGCTGAGAAGACAGAGTTTTGGTGTAAGTAAATTTATGTTATGACGTTAACAAACGTTTCAATTATACCGGCAATAAATTACCCATCTGGAACGATTCACGATCAAAAGTGCTTGAAATTCCTATCATGTGTATCAGATAAAATTTACTGAGTTTAATAAACCAAATACGGAACTCATGAGTTACAGAAAAGAAATTTAAGAAAATAAATAAGCCAGCGTAATAAATCGTCATCAAAATAATGCTTCGAACAAGCAAATTGCGAAGTTTAAAGCGAGACGTCCCTAAAAATATGAGCTAACGAAGGTAATCGTGTCCCCCGCTCCCTATTTGCGCTGTACAAACTTTATTTTCCCGTTTGATCTTCCGAGGCCTTAAAACAATGTTTGTTCCATTGAAAATTCATACTCGCAATCAAAATGTTTGTAACAAACTTATCAGGGTCATTCTGACCGGGACATTCGCACAAAGCTATCCGAGTAAACCCTGAATATTCATAGGTCACCCGATTACACACGGGACGGTCTAATTTGCCAAATCAAACGTGACTAATCTTAATTTAATTTTAACGTGTTTGAGCAGTGGATTGGTGGGGGACGCGTTTTGGGTCGTGTTATTGAGGTTTTGCATATTCTTCTGCAGTAAACAGCCTCAATGACGACACACTAAGTACTCGTAATACGTAGGCGCCATAATTGATGGCCAAAATAGCCGTAACCGTAAACGGTTGTTGTTATTTTAGTGTTCTTATGCCCGTTTTCACCATAAATCCCTAATTTTTAAGTGATCCCTATGGTAACACATAACAGGAATTTTGTTTTCATAGTGTTCACTTAAAAATTACGGATTAATGGCGAAAACGGGCATTAAAGTAACAGATTTTGATAATCTCAAAAGTAGCACTTATTTGTTTTCATGAAAACTTACGACTTTTAAGACACTGTTAAGAGTAGGTATAAAGTGATAAAAATTTAATAAGGTGTATTACATTATCTACTAACCATAGAATAGTAGAACTTAGAATTATACTGTCAAGAGACTCTCCGTCTATTAATTTAATATGCAAACCAATTTGGTAGCAGTACTACGAGTAAAAGCCTGTAAAAATTCAGAAGGGTAATAATAATAACAGGCCAGTAAACTGCTACAAAGGCGGTCGTTTCCAGAAAAAACTGGTTTTAACCGAGCCAACCCGCTCTCAAAGTTTTAACGAACTCATTATGGCACTAACAATTTTAGGACTTCAAATAGCTAACTTTGGATATCCCTCAAAATAATCAATAAAAGTGGACAAAAAAACAACAGAATTAACGTTTCAATCGAAACAACGTTATCTTCCAAATTACCTACCTTAAATAAGTAAGTATGTATTTTATAAAGTGTCGTTTTTATTACCTTCTAATTGTGAATTTAGTGAATTTTTGTCTAACAATTCTTCCCATTTTTGGGTTATTGAAAGTCCTGAAATATATCTGCAAAAGTTCGTAAAACATAACATAATAATCAATACTTGCAGCTCGTAAACATAGAATCCTGACCTAGTCGGTTAGTAAAAGGAACTGAAATTTTCGGAACGGTATGAATGAAAAATAATACAAAATTTGCTTCGAATAGGGGCATACAAGCGGCCCGGATGAGCGCAGGAAGAGCCCTGATTAGGGCTCCAAATGAGGCGGACACCGCATCGGTATACAATACCTATACGGAGCGGTATACGTTTACCACAACTCAAGTAAATACAGTAGTATTTATTTACTAGTGACCAGAGACTGTACGACAGTAAACTTTCGATCAGTCTTAGGGTTGGGTGAGTTTTTTTGTAACATTCAACTTTTTGCAGTTCTACAGCATACTCAACAATGACATGAAGTAACTCAATGTATAGTAACACTCACTGTTTAAATATTACACCACATTTGTCACAGTTAAAAAGTTAGATTAGTTTTTTGTAGAGCAATGTCGTGGTCAAGGTTAGCGAATAGTGGACAGTAAAAAGTGAGTTAAGGTAAATAAGTAAGTGTGAGAATTAATAGAAACGGAGCTCACTATATGTATCTCCATTGTGTATTTACGCTACAATAACCTACTTACACGCATGAATTTGCATTTTGTCTGACATTACAATCAGGTTCAAATTGTAAGAAATGAAAAATTTTGGTGTTGTTAACGTGTATCATGTTACACAATCTAAATACATTTAAATGTGTAATTAAAATTACTCAAATATTGCAGTTGGGTATTATAGTAGGAAACTTACAAGAGTAGATTTAAATGTTTTAAAAATATCATGATTGAATGAATGACATTGAATTCGTGTGTGTTGTATTTGTAATAATGTTTGTGATTGTTAGAAGAACTTACTCGTACATATCATTATGATCATGAAATTGATAATAAGTAAATATGTAAGTACTTTTTCATTTTCATTTACATGTTTGTAATAAAACGATGACAGTTTTTGTAATATATTCATGATATTATAATTGGATTAATGTCTAATTTTAATAATAAGCTGCCCTCTGCTCCCTATTCTTCCGCAATAAATAATGGAACAAAGTGATATCTTTACAAGTGAATGGGATTGATTTGCATATTTAACTGGATTTTTATTCGGAGCACGTACATGTATCTCATACCTCAAATAAGTCCACATCCCCATTTGGGATGAAAAAATATTTTTAGGTTTTTTTCTGTTTAAAATTAAGTGGAAATGTAAAAGAGGTTTTTTGTAATAAAATTACTTATTTCTCACGATCCTCTGGTTCCCATCATTTAAGTTCACTTTATACGGAGGTTTTGAGGGTTTTCTGATGTTTAATTATTTTTATTGACGTCTTTATTCTTTGCTGACTTTGACTGATAGGTAAAATAACTCGTATTTTTCCATGAACTTTTTCTGACAGGAGGCTTGCCAATATACAACATGTGCAAAGTTATGCTGAAATGGCTAGTCCATTTTTCAGTCTATGCATAAATGCATATGCCAAAATTTTCCAC